AAATCATGAATTGCCTAACAACATTTTGATATTTTGATTTTTTTTAGGAATTAATGTTTTCTTTTCTTAGATAAGAATTATTTTTTAATCACTATCCAGTAATTTAGTTTATTGTTACAGATATGAATTGAAAAAAATAAATAAAAGAAGAATAGAGGTAATATAAGAGAGATATAGAAGAGATGTAGGAGAAAAAAGAATTAAAATAATGCTTGATCTTCATTTATTAAAAATTAATTATCTAATATTTTACTAATTCTGTTCTATTTATCTGTTTCAGGTATCTTTCAATGGAATGAAACAGAAGGAATAACTCATTCCAATATTTCTTTCATTATTAGATAAATCTTCTAATTTTTATTTTAAATAAAAAAAATATTTTCTGGTAGAATTTATAGGTGATGTGTTTAATATTGTGTTCTTCCTAAAAGGCAATCTTTGCCTTTCCTACTCTGATTCCCAAAATATATTCCTATTTTTCAATGAAAAAAATCCTGACTTACTTGCCTTCTCTAAACTCCTATAAATAATCAATAGGTAGCTCATTTCCATTCTTCCTGGCCATATATGATTTGTATCGTATCATAAATTCTTAAAAATTGTTATGAATTATGAAAACAATCTTTTCATAGATTATCGAAAGGCAGGATTGTTAAACGGAATATTTAATTCTTATGTAGATAGAAATAAGAAAAGAGCTAGATAAAATAGGTAGGATGTTTAGAGAGTTTTAATGATGATTTAATTTTATTTTAAGATCTTTTACAAGAAAAAATTGCACTATAAAAAAAACATTGGTTAAAATAAAAATGTATTTAAAATTAAGTGCATGCATAATTAAGGATATTAATTAAAAATAAGGATATTAATTAAATAAGGATATTAATTAAATAAAATAATGTATTGTAAATAAATAGTGTAGTGTTTTGTGGAAAGCTTATTTTTTTTATTTTTTTTTCTTTTTTTTTGTGTGTATGTGTGTACTTTTAATTATTTTTCATTTTCATAATGATGAAAATGTAAAATATTGATGGAAAGTCTTTTAATTTAGATTTTATTTTTAAATTCAGTCTTCTGTGCTGTTTTTCTGTACAATGATCAATAATTTAATTATTTTATAATTCTTCTTTTCCAACAATAAATGAAGAATTTGTATGAAAATAAATTTTGGCGCGAAAGATTGAATGAATTGCATTTCCTTCTCGTGCATTTCCTTCTCATGCATTTCCTATATTTTACTCTGTATTTTTTATATAATTTAATTTTTTGTATATAGTTAGATTATAACATATAAGAAATATTTTAATTTTTTTTTAAATATTTCAGAATATCATACGAAATCTCATTTATTGTATTTCTTGTCTGTATTTCTATGTTCTATGGTCGTAGTAAATCGTAGAGGGCGTAAAAAACATTTTAAAAATTTTTTCTTCGAAAGGTTGGTATTTCTGAACGTGAAATACGAAATCCCATAAGATGTCGCTTTTTGTTTCGTTTTCTGTTACTGAATCGATTAACAACGGATGTCATATCTATTCTGTAATTCATCTATGGCTTAGTTCATGACATAATTATTAAAAAATACTCATATTTTTTATCCATAGAAGAAAATTTCAATTTAATAAAAATTCCATTTGTGTTTTACTTTATATATATCATTTTTGTAAATTTATATTTTTTTTATTTTTTAATTAGTTGTAATTTTATTTATATTTCTTCATCTTTCTTGTTATATCTTGTTTAATTTTTTGTCACATTATCTTTAAAAATATTACCTATTAGAGATAAAATTATTAGTTTTTAATCGGTTGGTACTTTATTTAAAGTCGGTAATGTTGAAAACATAAAATAATAAAGAAGCAAGAAGACTGAGAATTAAGAGTGGGAATCAAAATATACATTAGATGGTAAATCTATTGTATATTTTGTCTATGGTAATATTATTTATATGTATATGAATACTACATATCAGATGTCTTCAGATAGTTAAAGAAATATCGTGAAATTATCAATATTATTCACTAAACGGTATTGATTAATATATATGTATTTTTCATTCATGTGCCAATTGTTTGTATTTTTAAACTTTTCATTGTGATTAATATCATTTAATTATATTACGAAAATCAGTTCATGTAGCATTAAACCAAGTGAAAAATTTGTGTGTTATCTTTCCAGCATCAGTAACAATTCTGTAACTAAAATCACGTCATTATCTATTTTGGAAACAAACGTTATTACCACATGTCACTGTATTTTCCTTATTCACTAATTCATATTTATTAGATTTCTATTTTATATATTATACGTTAAATATACAATATAAAACGCGTTCTTTCTTTTATCAATTAATATTATCACATGTAAATATATTATTATAGTTATTTGTACGAGAAAATCCAAAGATTATTCATTGATTAATTTTTAAGTCAGAATATTTGTGATCAGTGAAAATTTACAAGTACATTTGTACTTTTATTAAAAAAAAAAAAAGAAAGATAAAAAGAAAAAGAAAAAATAACGGTAAACAAGAACATATTGAAAAGAATTTTTTATATATATTTTTTTACATGTGATTTTATTTAATTAGTTTGACTTTAAATACAAATATTAGCAACTTTATTTTTTTTTAATTATTATTATTATATTTGAGTTTTTTTTATTAAAGATTGTTTCTTTTTTTACGAAAAGTGTAAATAAAGTAAATACAGTGTATTTTTAAATAATTTTAATATTTAATTTGTCTAATCAATTGTTATAATATTTAATTCTCATTTGATAGAATGATTGCAACATGTAATCAAATTAGTACATTTTCTGAGTAAATGCTCCATTAGGTGAACTTTCTCTTTTAAGTAACAGCTGTTGTGTGTATAGTGTTTTACATACATCAATTCGTATTTTTTATTAACGTGATTTTTTAAAACGCGATAAATCGAAAGATACAATCTAGTAATTTGATAATTTTTTTTATTATTAATTATTTTCATATGTGTAATATATAATATTTTGTTATAGAAACATGCAATATTTCTTATTATTTCTTCTAATAAGTGTGACAATCCATTGGTCAGTTGCACCACCTGTTAATCAAAAAAAAGATAAGGATCATGATAAAAATGATGAAGTTGAAGATGTGGAAGAAGTGGTATATTATTATTTGTAATAAAACAATAATATTTAATTTTATTAATAGTCATAATAAAAGTTTTTTACATAGGTAGACATGGAGTACCGTAGGTACTTAATGGAAGTTGTTCAAGCATTAGAAAGTGATCCTGAATTTCAAGCAAAATTGGAAAATGCATTGGATTCAGATATACGTGTAATTTAAAAAAAAATGACATTACATGCAAATTATATATAAAAAATAGATTTAATGCAATATATATTTATAAATCTCCTTTTTAATTAGACAGGGAAAATAGCTGAAGAACTACAGTTTGTAAATCGTAATGTTAGAACAAGATTGGATGAAATAAAAAGAGAAGAATTAGAAAGATTAAGACATCTTGCAACCAAAGAAAATGAATTGAAGAATGGTTTAGATGTTGATCATTTAAAAATACCTGAACATTTAGATCATACTAATACACGTACATTTGAAATTCAAGATCTAAAGAAGTTAATTGCTAAGGTAATATACTGTTAGTAAATAGAATCAGGCTTGTTATTAATTATAAATTAAATATCTTGTTGTATAAATATATTGTTCTTTTATATAGACTACTAAAGATTTAGCAAAAGCTGATAGAAAGAGACGAGAGGAATTTAAACGACATGAAATGGAAAAACAATATAAAGAAAGAGAAAAATTAAAACGTAATATTACAAAATTAATTATTTAATAATTTAGTTATGATAATATTAATTTTTCATTATATTTTATTTTATTATAGAAATGAATGATGCAGAAAAAAAAAAGTATGAAGAAGAATTGCAAACAATGAAAGAAAAGCAAAAAAAACATGAACCTGTAAGGCTTATTGTACCTGTAAATATATTTAATATTTTTTTTTATTCAATAATCTTACTTTTTCTCATTTTTATTTTATAGGTACATCATCCAGGAAGTAAACAACAATTAGAAGAAGTATGGGAAAAACAAGATCATATGGAAAATGAAGAATTTAATCCTAGAACATTTTTTTTCTTTCATGGTATCATATATTTTTATAATTATTTTTTTGTGATATTTTAAGTCTTAAAATAATTTATAAATAATTAATATTCAAGATGTTGATGGTAATGGAGTATGGGATCAAGATGAAGTTAAAGCTTTATTTTTGAAAGAATTAGATAAACTTTATGCTCAAGGTGCACCACAAGATGATTTTTTAAAACGAGCCGAAGAAATGGAAAGGATGAGAGAACATGTATTCAATGAAGCTGATCTCAATAAAGATGGTCTTATTAGGTATTTTATATATTTTAATGAAATTGATTATTTTATATTTATTTCATATCATTATTTATAGTTATGAAGAATTCTTAGAACAAACTAAAAAACCAGATTTTCAACAAGATGAAGGATGGCTAGGATTAGATGAACAACAAATTTATACTCAGGAAGAATTTGAAGCTTTTGAAAGACACAAACAAGAAGAGATGCAAAAAATGATTGCTAAAGGAATGGTGAGTATATTAATATAGTAAAAATTATTGTGATTATTTGTTATCTTTTTTAAAAGTATGCATATGTTGTGCATACTTTTGCATGCTTATTTTTATTAGGATTTTTTTATGCTTAAATGTACACCTTTAGTTTGTGAAATGAAAATGAATGAACTAATAAATTTAGAAAAAATTAATTGTACGTTTTATTGAAAATCTTATTGTTTTGAACCCGATGTTTTAAACGAACATTTTATTTTTATTTAAAAATAATCATTACATATTTTTATTAATTTTTTAATTTTTTTGGAAAATTTCTTTAAAATTTTGAAAATGCATAATGCTGTTTCTAAATTTTATATAATTTGTGAATGATATTTACGAAACATTTGTGTTCGTTTAAAGTGATTGATTTAAAAGCTATAACAGTTTTTAAATCCATCTAATATATAGTTTGTAAGAAAATGATTATGCAAAAAATTAATTAACGAATTGTATCAACTGCTTTAAAGTATTAGTAGACAAATATTTATGTAATATTTTACTATTGAATAATACTAATAGTATTTTGTTTCATTATTTTAAATTTACAAATAGCAAAGGGTACAATAATGCATTGTGTTATTAGTGATTATTTTTTATCCACTTTAATCTTTTTTTTTTAAAGAAGCATTGTTTATAGTGTTTTTGTAATCGATAATAATTAGCTTGTGCACTTTTTGTTGCTGTTATTAGCTACCACCACACCCAGGTAGTATACCGGCACAATCCGAGCCGGTAAGTAACCCTAGCTTTTCAAAATATTTTTATCTAAAGCGAATGTAAAACATAATATAAAAAATTTTTTTAATAATTAATAATAATAATATAATAAAAAGAAACAATAAAAAAATTTACATTCTATATTTAGCATATAAAAATAGTAAAAATTAAAATTAAAATGAATAGATTGTGACAATAATTCTGTTCATATTTTTCAGTTTCCATCACAATATGGACATGCACCAGTTGCACCTGGATTAGTTCCACCTCAAGTGGATTCAAATCAAAATGTTCTGCATCAGCAACAATTTCAAAATCCACAATATAAACAACAGCCACAAATTGTAAATCCTCAGCAAATTCATGATCAAATTCAACAACAACAGTTTCAAAGACAAATACCAAATCAACAATATCAATATGTGCAAGTACCTCAAGAACAAAATCCTGTTCAACAGTTACACTCTGCACCTATACTAAATCAACAAAATCAAGGACAAGTTTTGGTTCAACCTTTAAGTCAATCTTTAGGTCAACAAGTACAAATTCCAATTCAACAGAATGAACATCCAGTTTCAAATTTGCAACAACAGCAAATAAATCAAATACCACAAAATATTAACGTGCCACAGCAAAATAATCAAAATCAGCCGAATTTGCAATCTACACAGATTCCTACACAACAAGAAATTAATAAAGTACCAACTGATCAGAAAGTATAATTTTATCTCTAATAACAGGTAATATTTTTAAATCACATAATATAACAAAAAATTATTGTCAAGATATGACAAGAAAGACGAAGCATTTAGAAAAAAAAAGTTCAAATTTTTTATCATTTTATAATGTTTTTCATATCTTTCTTCGTTTTCGTTTTTTCATTAATTCTAGCATCTGTATGTATACAGAACGCTAATACTACGTTTCATGAAAGATTGAATTATTAATTTTTCGCATTTATCATAAAATATAAATAAAAGTATTTCAAAGAAACGCAATCGTTGAAAAAAACATTGTTTATTTTGCTACCTTGATGATAGATCCTTGATGAAGTGATGAAGTAGTAATTCATTTATTCTGTATTAGAAGCAACTATGTTTCTATGAAGAATAATATTTAAATCATCACATGCATCGAATGATAAAAATTTAGGAGATGGGTATGATGTGCAATTCAGTGAAAAAAAATCTTATTTAATTTCTCATATTTATTATTGCATACTGTTTATGTTAGTATATTACTTAGGTATACGTGCCAAATAGCAACTTAAATATATGATTGCGTGATTCATCTGTTTGTTTCACCCGTCAAGCACGGATAGGTAGGTAGGTGGGTAGGTAGGTAGGTAGGTAGGTAATGTAACGCTTACTCTACTATATATAAGGTGTATTTATAATTATAGCATATGTTGGTAGAACGTCATCTTACATGCTAATCGGTAATAAATAAAAGAGGAATTCGTAATGGGTGACAGGTTTTGCTTGCATCCGTGACTAACGTAAACTATTTCCAAAGCCTCGTATTTGAGGTGTTCGGAAGGAAACGGAAACAAACGTCGCTTCGCGATTCGTCACGGGTACACACACGTTTCGAGCGTTTTCTTAAAGTCACGCGCGCAACTATTCGTATAGTGTGTCGGTTTAATCAATTCGACTATCTACTCAAAAGAAATACTTTGTTTTTAATGTAAATAGAAACAATAGTAACTATAAACTATCGCCATCTGCAAAGAAACTTGCGTTTATCGTCATTTTTTGGACAGCGAGCGTCTTCTATTGTAAGCTGCGACAATTTCGAATGAATCGATCGAGATTAGAAACTGAAACGAAGACAATTAGACACAATTCGCAGGTTCACGCGATCGAGGTTGAAAAGTGATAGAAACATGTATATAACAACCGCAATAACGATTCGGAGACATTCTCTAAATTTCGAGGTAAGAACTGGTCGGAAATTGCTACGATCAACTTCGATCGCGAGAGCGCATTACGTGGTCCTTTTCGATTTCGCTCCTAATTATTCGCGAGGCATTGGTCGGAGGCCATCCGCGCTCCTCAACTTTATTCGCAAGCGTCTTTAAAAATATTTATCCGTACCTTTTAGAACGCCTTTCTACCTCGTATTACATCGACCAATGTCTCGTTAGCGCACTATGGCGGCAAATTCAAATGAAACAGAGGCTCGGATCTTAAATTACATAAAATACCTTTACGACCGGACAAATAAATATATTACAGGTTACGATAATAAAGATGAACTTTGTCGTATAATAATGTTGCATCCTTCTATTTACAGTGAACGCGCGATTGTGCTTGTTTGTCGCGTAGCATATTGTGTTTTTTCTTTAGTGTATTTGTTCCAAGAATCATTTCTCTTTTCGTTCGCTCGTTTACATTCTTTCTATACACTTTTCACTCGGATCTCTTATCTTTTCTAGTATTTATTTTATCTCTCTTATATACTTCTTCCCTTTATCTTTTCTCTCCACTCTTTATTCGCTTATCCTTTCAATTCTTTCAAACTTCCTCTTGTTTCACATTTTCTTGAGCATGTGTCATGTAACGTGTATATGTATATGTATATGTATATGTATATGTGTATGTGTATGTGTGTGACATCGCTCAAAATGCGTAGGTAAGTGGTCGGGTGCGCGTGTATTTGTGGACGCATACGTTGGATATTGCCCCACGACTGGGTGTATACGATTAAATAATCAGATTCTGAAAAATGTGCGGTTCTATTGTTCGACTAATAATTTCTGTAAATTAGGATGCCACCTATAGTTTAGTCTCGAATGTTTAGTTCGTTACTGCAGCAGAATAACGCGTGTCGTTCCACGTTGTCCTTCGACCGCGTTCCTTCCGCTGTCGTAACGTCCTTTCGTTAAACGCAGTTACGTGTTACATCCTGTAAACTAGTCGTAAATCGCGGATACAGGGATTACTACGCTTCGTTATCGCTTTTACTCTTACGGCCTGCTTGGATTCTTTTGAATGTTTCTTCTCTCTCTCTCTCTCTCTCTCTCTCTCTCTCTCTCTCTCTCTCTCTCTCTCTCTCAACCTCTTCTTCTCGTGTATACGTGTGGCGCGTATGTCGGGTCGATCATTATTATAATAAGACATTACATCTCGAAGCCAAGGCGAAAATAAAGGAAAGATTCGGCGCGTGCACGTAATACATTTCAGATCCTGTATTTTTGAACTAGAATGAATGTTAAAAATTTCGTTTGCAATTGCAGCCGAGTGTTGTGGTTTGTTGCCTCGTGGCCTGACGCGTCCCGCTCGCAAACTTTTCCACGCGTTTTTCCTCCCCCTCCCCATTCTCGTGATCCTATCGCAAGATCTTCCGCAAGACTTTCCACCCCTTCGATCCATCTTAGCCGGGCCGCGTTACATTTTTCCACTCGGATTCGCAAAGAAATCGGGAAGATGGACGCGCAAGATGGATCGAGAAGAGCGGGAAACACGAGCGAGATGGATCGATATGCGAGTGAAACGTAAAGTACAGGCCACGAGGACAAATGGGATAGGTTTATTCCTCGAAAGTGGTATACTAGCGTCACGCCTGTCCGTCCTTATGTTGCCTCGATAAAAATTCTAAGAGCTACTTTGTCTTCGACTCTAAGATCCTTACTTTTGTCTAACTTAATTCTCCCCGTGAACTTTTGTTTCGTCCTCGACGACGTTTGAACGGAAAACTGCATCATCTTCCTTCAACGTAAAACGCATCCAGCAGCAATCTTATAGCGTCAATATATCAATTTATGTATATATATACTTTTTTTTTTGTCTCATATATATTTACTTTACTTTGTGTCCTATATCAATAATAGCGTATTAGATGCATTTTTTTTTTTTTGTTCACTTACACCTTATGTATGTAATATAAGTATCTTTGTTTTTCTTCATCTGTTCACAGATATATCAAAAATGCGCAAACGAAAGATTCTCGAAATATCCGTTCCCTCTGATAATTTAGTTACACGCTTCTCTCCTACTTTTCATCCCCCCCTTCCCCCTATTTACCATCCTTCTTCGCTCTTTCTATGTCTCTTTCTTTCTCTTTCTCACTCTCACTCTCTCTCTCGCTCTCTCTCACTCTCTCACTCTCTCTCTCTCTTTCGTACAAGCGAATCAAAAAGAAACGTTTACGAGAATATGCCATTCAGGGTATTACCGGTGGTGGGTTGATCCAAAACAGAAATTTTGTCGGGTTTGCTTGTAGATTTTGTACATTCGCTCTACACGCACACAAAAGTTTCGTAGACACATTGCGTAATCGATGGGAAAAAAAAAAAAACAAAAAAAAAATTCACTATCCCAACCAGATCCGATTCGAATCGATCGAGAACGGGTATCGATATTGTTTTAAAATTGAAGCCAACAATTTTATTTATTTATTTATTCTTCTTTTTGCAAAATATTCGAGTTCCTCCTTTGATTCTATCCTCGACTATAACACCGTGCTGTTTAATCTTCGCAGAAATCGCGCAGCGTCGCTAACACTTCGAGACGAGACGAAGAGAATATGTATACATACTAAGGAGTAGTAATAGTTTTTGTTTTACGCAACATCCCCACAAATAATTCTTTGTATCTTTGTCATCTGTACTTTTTTTTTTTTTTTTTTTTTTTGCTTTTTCCTCTCTCTTTCTTTCTTTCATTTTGTTTCTTCTATTTCTTTTCCACTTTTGTCGGAAATGATTCATTTGGTGATGTGAAATTTCGAATGATTTTTTCATCACGTACAAGTGGTCACGGTCTACGGGACACGTAAAATTCTTTTTTTTTTTTTTTGTTTGAAAGGCACTTGCTACTTTTTTTTTTTTTTATACAATATTAATTTTAATCTTTTCCACATTCTCGCCTGTTCACATTCCCCATCCTTTTCTCTCGCACACTCTCTCCCTAACCCTTTATCGTTCCGCTAATTCTTTCTCGCAATTTCGTTCGCGGCTCTTTGAATATATATATATTTTTTTTTCCCTTTCTTCTTCCAATTCCATCTCCTCGCTTTGACTCACGAGTTTCTTTTGCTCCACCCTGCCGCTGGTTTCGTTCAAATTTACCTTCTCGTTGAACACATTAAGCCTAAATCGTAATAAAATCTTTTAAATTCGCGATTTATCATTCTTCTTTCTTTTTTTCTTTCTTTTTTTTTTTTTTTCCTCCTTTCCTCAATCGATCGCTCTCTCGCGTGTCGTTCCGATTTTCACGAAAAAATAAAACGTGCTCGATCGGCACTTTTTTTCTCGTCGACCGAATTTTTTTTTTTTTTTTTTTTTTTTTTTTTTTTAGTTTCATCCAAAAATCTTTTGTATCAAGAATAACGCGTTTTAGAGATTTTTCCCGAATTTAATTTTCTAATCGCCGATAATTAACTTGCTAATCGATTCCTCTCGGAACTTTCGTACAAACCGTTTAAAGCTTCCATAGGGGAGTGGCGCGAGAACAACGTTTTCTAAAAAGATTGCCTAAACAACGTATAACACGACGGATAGCCTATACGCCCCCATCTTTCTTTTTTCTTTTTTTTTTTTTTCCTTTTTTTTTCTCTCGAGCAAAAGCGAAAAGCGATGGTCTTTTCCTTTTACAGAAGGCCACTTCGAATTTTTTTTTCTTTTTTTTTTCTTTTTTTTTTTTTTATTTACTTTTTAATACTTACAAAGAGTCACTCGAACCAGTGTGCCAACTTTAAAAAATTTGCTTTATTTATTTTTTTTTTTTTTTTGTTTAGAAAATTTCGTTCTCTCTGTCACACGCTCTCCCTCCTTTCTCTCTGTCTCCTATCCCATTCGCTCTCTCATTCTTCCCCATCCTGTCCATCTCATTCTCTCTCTCTCTCTCTCTCTCTCTCTCTCTCTCTCTCTCTCTCTCTCTCTCTCTCACTGTCTTCCCCCTCTTTCTGCTCCTAGGGTGACTAGGCTCCGGATACGAACTCGCTCGTAGACGTCGCACGAGATCTCTTGAACGGCGGTTCGTGGCAAGAACGATCGAGGAGTAGACGCGAATCGTTTGAATGAAATTCCGTGCTTAATTATTGAGAGTTGACAATGTCGCGCGTTAATAATCCAACAATCGGTGCAACAACGATACCGATCGGTGGACAGAATTTGAACGATTCCGAAAAAGGGAAACGGCCGGTTTGTTTCGACGGCTACTCGACTCGTATTGTTCTTCGATTGTCGAGGATCGAGGGTCTTCTTTCGCGAAAAGTCGTACGCGTAATATGTAAAATTTTGAAAAATAGCACGATCTTTCCGAAAATAATCCATTCATCCGCGCGCGCACGCATCCACATCACGTTCACACATGCAGATTTTTTTCTTTCCAAAAAAATTTCACTCATTCGTTCACGATATTACAGGCAATCTCGCGCATTTATCGACGCATTTTCTCTTGTTCCAAATTCAATGAATTTCGCGGTAGTAATGAGTCGTCATTAATTTTTTTTTTTTTTTTCTTCGTTTCCTAATCTCTAAACCTTATAATTTTTATACTTGGCATACCCCAAATATGGCAGGAAGGCAATCATTACACTTAATAAAGTACAGCAATCGGTTTTTTTGTTCTTTCTTGCGTGCTAACGCGATCGCACTTAGTCAAACAATATTTTTTTTTTGTTTTTTTTTTCTTTTTTTTTTTCGTTTTCTCTTTCATTCCGTAGAGATTCAGTCGTCGTCGTTTTATAAAAATCGACGAACGGTCGCAAGAGAATTTTGTACATCTCTTTCGCTCTCGTAAGATTCTTTTTTTTCCCCCGTTTTTCTTTATTTTCTTTTTTTTTTTTCTTTTTTTTTCTTTTTTTTTCTTTTTTTCGGAAGCGCAACGTTTCTCCAATCGATCCCGCGTTCTATGAACGCCCTAATTTCACCAGTCGTCACCCTTTCGCAGCGTCTCGCTGCCAACTACATCTTATTATTCGCTCTCCACCGCCCGTAGTAATGCACGGACGTTGGTTTCTTAATAAATCGGCGAGTCCCCGATATATTAAACCGCGTCTCGAATCGCGGCGGGAATACTGGCTCGTGATACAAGATCTCACCAATTACTATACATTTGGCATATTAAACGTATGGTATATATGCATAAGATATATAAATCTCGACTGTAGCGTGTGTCCGTGTAGCACGCGAATTCTCGTCCCCTTTCTCTCTCTCATTCTCTCATTCTCTCTCTCTCTCTCTCTCTTTCTCTCTCTCTTTCTCTCTCTCTCTCGCTTCCACGCGTCCATCACGCTTTTTTGACGCGCAGCCGGATGCCTCGCAAAGAAGAATGTCGCGGGTTCCTAATCGAGCGATTAGCTACGGAACGTTCTCTCTTAAAATAGGCGGCCTTGGAGGCTGCGAGCGGAGCTCGGTCGAGCGATCGCGATCGATGCTCGAGGGTGTCGGTCGGAGGAGGGAGGTTTCGTAGTATGCGAGAGATTCGAGGGGATTCGAGGGATCGAGCATCGATCGGGTGTGCGTTCCCTAAAACGTCGTCGCTTCCTCGATTCGCGGGACTCCCCCTCTCAATTCTCCATTTTCCCCTCTCTCCCCCGCTTTTGATTGTAAATCTCGTCGAACGATCTCGCGGCGAGATCGCTCTGATGCATATAAGTATATATATATATACTTATATATATACTTATATATATACTTATATATATATATACTGCAGTGTCGTCGCGAGGACGAATGATCGACCGAATACGGACCGTTCGAGAAAGATGGAAGATACGCAATCGGTGCTCGACTCGACGAAATGGCGATTATCACCGTGCGAATCGTCTACCTTCGAATAATCCGTATAGCCGAGCGTCGCCTCCCCGTAGACTCGGTTCTGCGCGATGCGTCGTCGACGATTGCGACGATGGCAGAATCCTGTTAGGAGGATCGCGATGGAAGTGAGACGACGACGACCACGCTGTTCCGCCGATCCAACAATTAGCTCGTTCTGTCTCGAGCCTGCCTTGCTTACTATTCGCAACGCGAGTCCGTCAACGGCTCGAGTTTAACGGGGATCTTGTCCTTGTCCTTGAGCCCGTGCGGACTCTTCACGAGATCCGCGATATCCTCCTGAAAAAGGGTCTCCGGCCGCGGGCTGACGAAGCTTCGTGCCGGTTTGTAGGTCATTCCGCTCACGCCGATTCCGACTTCCACGCTGCTTGGTATGTGGCCGGGATCCATTAGGGGGCCGAGAGGGCTGGCGAGGGGGCTCTCCATCGGGCTCTCGGGTGGGCCACCGCTGCCCGGACTTCCCAGGCCTAGGTTCAACGGCGAGTTACCGGTGTGCCCACCGTTGTTGCTGCCGATAATAGGCCCGCTGTTGTTGTGGTGATGCTGGCTGGCTTGCATCGCCGCCTGCAGATTCGACGTGAGGCTCGTGGACAGGTTCGTGGAGAGATTTGTCGCCATCATGTCGTGCTGTTGCGAGTGCGCTGCCGCCACCATGCTGCACATTTGATGCCGCAGTCCTGTTGTACGCCGATGGCGGGCACCGAGAATAATTTTTTCCATTGTTATTAATATTATTGTCATTACTGTGTTTCGATAGGGGGAGGGAGAGGATTTTGCGGAAGGGTTGGAACTGGTGGCGGTCGTCTTGTTACCTTGAGCGACTGCGGCAACCGCGGCCGCGGCTGCCGCTCCGGGACTGACCGCGCCTTCCGGACCGTTGCAAGCTGCGTAATTCGCCAGACCAGGATATATAGTTGGCTCTTCCTTCACCATGTGCGGGGAATGACCGTCGCGGAACACGACGGCTCGGATCACCCCGCGAATGTGCTCGTCCGGCCAAACGCCTAGTAGAATCCTTTGCGGCCTTCCTCTACCTTTTGGGCGAAGATCTGTAGAGGACCGGTACCGAGAAACGATAAGTATCTTTTCCTATTTTAATGACATGTATGTGTATATGTTTTGACTTCCGACTCGATTCAGTTGATAGTGAAAACGAATTTCTATTTTTTTGTATTTCTTTTAATCGATTCAATTTTTGCGGAAAAATTGTATATTTATATACAAGTGAGAGAAGAATCGAAGAATCATGTATAACTTGTTCGACGAGTTTTATTATCGTTTTCGAACATATTTCGCATTCGAGTCGGGAGAATGTTATTATATACGTATAATTTATGTATATTGGATTGGGTAGGAAAGTTATGTCGGTTTTTGATTTTGCTAAGATAAACAATTTCAAATGTGCAACACGCATTATATATATTTATAATAAATTCATTTTATCCGTATGAAATATATTCTATTCCCGTCTAAACTTAGAAATCAATGTAAACTAACAATAAGCCGTTGTTGAAACGTGGTTGAACGTAAAATATATCTGTTTTCAGTGGCATTTCGTATGTATTATATATGAATTTAAATGGGATATAAATGCAATATCGCCGCAAAAAAATATTTGCCATTTGCTTTGAAAAGTGAACGTATCGGTAAACGTTAACAACTTTCCTAATCGATATAATTTAATCCTTTCGAGACGGATTTTTCTTTTTCGCGATGAATACAATGATACAAGGAATGTCTTGTCACAGGTTCAGATTGATATATAAATGTAACTACTCGATAATTTAAAAATTTATATCAACTTATCGGATTATTATAAGGATTTCGAACGCGTACTAAAATATCTGAAACACTTTTGACGCGGATTTTTCTATTAGACAATAAATTGAGAAAATTTCCATAATGGGATTAAAATTTCACCTCTGATAAAATATTCTTGTCTCTTATCGATAATAAAAAAAAAAAAAAAAGAACTAAAATTCATATAAAAATTAATTTGAAACTTAAATTCTATTAGTCTCGAAAGGATTAAATTACTTTATATACGTGAACAACAACAACAATAATAATAATAATAATAATAATAAATTAATTTGCGTTTCGCTCTCATAAAAATCGGCACATTTACATTTCCACCAATCCAATACGATATAAATATAAAACGAGACAATTCTTCTAATACGTATTTTCTTTTTTTCTTCTTCTTTTTTCAGACAAATTCCTGAGGGACGAAAATGGGTGAACTTACCAGCTCCGCCATCGGCGCTCGGACCTAGCATATTATGTACCCGATTGGCATACAACACGAACGTCGGGTAAGGGATGTCGTATTTCCTGTAACAAAATGTCACGAAGCGTCTCACAATCGGAAGAATTAAATTGCTTGGTACGATTGCAGATCGTTTTGCTTGGTCAATCCGGGTCAAGAAAAAAATCGATTCTCGTAAAAATTCTCGTAAATATTATCGAGTTCGTTCCGCGAAACATTGCCCGATCGAAACGCACTCGCGCTCGCACAAAGGAAAAAGAACCTTTAACGACTACGCGTTATTACGCGCGTACGATACGCGTTTTACGAGCAAGCTGTAAAAGTTCTTAAGTCGACCGCACGCCGAACCCAATGGCCAATTGTTTTCTCCCTGTTTTAACCCATTTACATCCGACACACATGGTTTACCGCCCGTGGTGGTAACCGCGATTCTCGCAACTAAATCATTTTGACCGAATCGCTCGAAACTTTCACGGCAAATTGTTCGCCCCGACAAAACAAACTGTAACGTGGCGGGAATTAATTTCGCTTAGCCAGTTGAAAAATAACTGGCGGTAACTGAAAAACCGGTGATACTTTTGTCTCGAGTGATTAAACCGATCGATTTTAACGACGGCACTCGCAAATATTGCGACGTTAATCGTTTACCACCACCCCCCTCCCCCTCCCCCTCCCCCTCCCCCCCTCGTTATAATAGGGGGATCGATTGAAAATTTCCACCATTGGTTGCAACCAACGGTCCGATGAACTTTCTTAGTTTAATTTGTCTCGTCGCGCCGCAAATATCCATCTAATAATTCAATTCTTCTTTCTTCTTCCCTAAACGGGAGGGAAATGTCTCATGCAGATGTAATTCGACCGGATTAAGTAGCGGCGCGACGAGATTCGTTTTAACGCGAGAAATTCGGTTTCCTTTGATTTCAAAATTATGGAAGGGGGAGGGAGAGACATGAACGAAAGGATAACGTAGAAAGAACGTATTGCGTATATTGGAAAGTAAGTTGAAAAAAGGGATATATTTACCTAGCTGCCTGACTCAAGGACAATCCTTCTTTCAGGACGCTGAAGATCGCCTCCGCCATCGTTTCCGGTCGCCAAGATTTGAGCGGGCCACGTTCACGAAAGCGCAGATTGTGGACCAGGCTCTGATTGGTGTTCCAACATTTCTGCCACATCGATTGCAGCTGATACTGGTAGCTGTCTGCTAGTTTACGCCCCCCGTGGAAAAGAGAAAACAGAAAAAGCCGAGCGTTAGTACGAGTCGTATTAGTTCGATCAAGGGAGAGAAGATTACGCGTGATATAAAGATCTGGGAGCGAATTAACATCAACGATCAACTTTTCGATTATCTCCTTTTTTTCTTTTCTGTTTTTTTTTTCTCTTTTTTCTTTTTTCTTTTTTTTTTTTTTTTCCATTTCATATACGTTTTCGTTATTCGTGACTCATCGGTTTCGTTAACGCGATCGATTCAAATCGATCGATCGAAAAGTTGATTCGCCGTGTTACGCGAGCGTGTAAACGGACGCGCGTCGATTCGCGCGAACGAATATATGCAAATGAATTGAAAGAATCAAATTGAATCGAATCGAATCGTTTCGAAAGCGACGACGATTCGAATTCGACGAAATCGATACAAGCCATACGACAATATAAATAGGGTAAATAAACCAGACGTAGGTAAGTCGAGCGAAGGTGCGAGTATCGTGTACTTAGGTTCCTTTGTAGCTGGTTGGGGCGTAGCGTACCTGCGAACAAAGTATTGAAAGGCAAGTTGCGGCGGGGATATGTGGGAGCGGGAAATAAACACTACGTGTCGTGTATACGTTAACGTATCGATTGTATTATCGTTGGCGTACAATCGTTATATAGAATAAAACAAAGAGGGAGAGAGAAGAAAAAAAAAAAGAGTGAAAGAAAAGAGAAAGAAAGAAGTTCTTAACGAAACAAGCTCGATCGTTAATAGAAAATATTTTGCTTAAACGTTACACGGTAATCGCAGTCTCGCGCAACCGTTTGGCATCTGCGCTTGCGCATGCGCAACGCGAGCGAACGAACGCGAGTATGATACGACTCGAATACCGGCTACGCCACGAACGGCTGGCCTCAATTCGCAACGATTATTTAATAGTTAACTTATTGGGTTTAATTGAGCATCCTCCAATTTGACGATTAATACAATTAATTGGAAAGAAACGCGCGCGTGCGCGTCGGTACACGCGTCGGTGCACGCGCACGCGTGTACGATCGAAATACCGAGTCGTCGGGCTTCTCGTTTTCAAAGAGGTTTAACTGACGATCGGACAACGACGAATAAACGCTTAGTTCTTTCTTATCGAAACAACTTGGTTACGCAACTTCCTATCTCGTTCTTCCTACGCAAAAGTTAACGTTTCCGAATCTCCGTGATGTTCGGAGATGCTCGCAGCGAAGAAATAATGATATCACCAATCGTGAAACGCGATACATACAACTAGCCATTAGCGCCACGAAAGATGGATTATAAATACAATTAAGAATTAATAAAAGTTTCCCGAAATACTCTCGAGAGCTTATTTTTCGCTACTGCGTTCGCATTGAAAATTATTCGCGAGAAATACTCCCGGGACCAATTGTCAATATAATTTCATTCGCATCTTAATAATAGACTTTACGTATCTGACATATTGTATATTTTTCCGCGGCGCGAAACATCATTACGAAACGTATTGTCGTGCCACTACCAATTCTACAAGTAAAATCTTTTGTCGGAATCTCGTCAAGTGTGTCTTATTCGTGGAGTATTCTACGATGATCGCACAATAGGACCGTGGTATACAATTACAAAAGTAATCGAGATCGATTTAACGCGATCTCCGTTCCAATTAAAGGGAAACGACGCATGAATATCAGTTTGAAAATTACCGCGACGCGCGAGGGCGGCTATCGTATATTTATCAACTGAGCAACGGGGTTGACCCGTGTTACGCGATAAACGTTAAAAGGTTGTACCTCTCGTGTAACACGAGCGCTCGAAAGTGTCGTTTATTCGCTAATTGCGGAGAATGCTTACGAATGCAATGTTTCACGAGTTTCAAACGTTTTCCAGACATTATCCGCGATTTCTTTAATTCGTCAGAGTTTCGAAAAGGAGTTTAGAATGCGAAGATATACACAAAGTGGATAAAATTATAGGACACTCGGAAAACAGTATTGCATATTTATTTGTAATATTACGATTTATAAATCTATAAATATTATAATGAATTTTGAATTTAAAAAAAAAAAAATACAATTTCAAACTTGGACGAAATTATCAAATTCAAATTATCTTTTTTTAATATTGGTAGCGAGTCTTTTTTATTTTGAAGATTCAAATTTTTGCGCTCACAAATGCGCGCTTTTTAAAATTTTGTTTAATATCATTCTATTACTCGTCTCCTTCGTATAATTCTAAATTTTCATTTCCTACGATATTAAAATTCAAAGATTCTCCGATTTAAAATTGGTATATTTTTAGTAATAAAAAATATCCAATCATCATGATACGTATATTTTTTTTCTTTTTTTTTTTTTTTTATTAAATGTTAGCGTCTTATAATTTTGTCCACTTTGTGTAAGTTGTTTTCGGTGAGCGTAGAATTTCAATGTTCTCGAGTTGCATATTTCTCATATTCTAGCGATTTTTTTTTTTTTTTTTTTTTTGCATACAAAAATATAGAGAGCAGCTAGGTGTCATTCAACCGTTTATTACGCAGCTAATTTACTTCGCTATTCACGTTGAAATACCTTAGCTAATGGAGAGTATCGTTACTAAATTCGAACGATTTTCAACGGAATATAAACGTACACATATGTTCTCGAGTCTGTGCTCGAGCAAACTTGCTCGCTTCCACAACACCTTCGCGCTATAAGCGAATGTCAAGTTGTTATAAAAGTTCCGTCGGACCATAGTGTGTAACTATACCATCCGCATCGGAATTCAAAATGTTTGCTTTGTATTACGCTTTCTTATTAGTACGTGTTCCATTGCAAGAGTACGAAGCTTATGCTTAGCAATGCTTGTACAAAAAAAAAAAAAAAATTGTATCATTTCGTGGAACACGAAGGAAATCTTTTTTTTTCTTTTTTTTTAATCTTTCTTTTAAAATTCTAATATAAAATCTATACGATATATACCATGGTAGTAGTATATATCATTCCGACTGGCCAAAATCATTTTACGACAGCCCGTCCTCCGTTCTCTCATCGTTACACGCAAAATAAATGCTTTCGAACAAATTTTGTCTTTTTTTTTTTTTTTTTTTTTTTCTCTCTTTTCTTTTCAAATGGAATGTTACAACAAGATCCATCCGCTCAAATGTACATATTTGACTCTCTAAACGTGAGAGTGGGAATAAATCGAAGAACAATTATGATTGTACACTTTGAGATTCACGTTGATATCACATTCGAATAAGATACACGATATTATAACATTTGATTGGTAGGATTAAAAAGTTGAAACGCTTTTATCGATCTATACCATATATTCGTGACGACGAAGGCTCGAGTCGCGGCGACTAAAAATAAAGATCGAATTTATTAAACTACACGGAGTGGAAGACATCGAGCAAAAGGCACTTGCTTATATCGCTGGAATAATCGTTAACCGCGATAAGGCGCAATATATTATTATTGCTTTAACTACAATATAAACGTTACCATTATCATTATTGCTACTACTTATTACGATGATTATGGTCCCGCTGCGAATGATACACGCGACTTTGGACACGTTTCGGAGAAGAAAAAAAATTTGGTCCGCGAACCAAAAAGGATGGAATGCGCGTGGAATGTGAAAAACATCGATCGAAAGGGGAATCTATCCCGTAATCGCTTCTTCGCCGCTCGAAAACATTTTAAAACAGTTTAAACACTTGCGACAATCGGTGTTTCGAACCTGTTACATTACTTTCGTGGAGCGTGAACCTCCAGTGAAAAAGTTCAAGGATCGTCGCGGACAAAAAAAAAAAAAAAAAAAAAAAAGGCACAAAGATTTACAAAGAGGCGAATCAATAATGACACGGGGAGAGAGAGAGAGAGTGAGTGAGTGAGAGGTCACTGATCGTTCTCGTTCTCGTCGTTGAAGTAAAGCGAGACTATCGAGTGCTTTTTACAGAAAGCCCACCACCAACGGAAACCAGAGAGGCCGTTAAAGACAAAATTAGGATCACGTTTTCGCCTCAACTTTTCGACAAAGTTGAGGATCGCGTTCAATGATTTTTTCGTTCGGCGATTGTACGGGCTGACGCTGATGTCGCAGCAGAACTCGAGCACGGCCGTTTCCTCGCTCGAGTTCAACCCCGCCTCCTCGAGGACCATCATCCTCTTCGTCTTTCCGAGGATGTTGTCGTACAATGTGCCTTTCGGTATCCCGTATTTCGTGGACGCCTGGGTGAATCGCATCTTCTGAGTAACCACAGCCTCGATCGCTTCCTGGAGATCGTGCCGCGTCCACGTGGGCGCCTTCAGCTTCAGCAGGGTTGAATAGTCAGCTAGAAAATAGTCAGGGATTTCGTCTCGTTTTTTTCGTGATACCCTGTGGCTGATACCCGACCCAGAGATCGACCGATCTCTTGGAGGAGGTAGCTGGCCGACGGACACGAGATACAGCGTTATACATTCTCGTCGCCTAGATATATACCGGAAATACCAAACATCCAAACTCCCCTACCTTTTTCCCCCCACCCCACCCCGATTATTACCCCCCGGTCGTATCCCTTTGTCGTCTCCCTTTGCTCTGTTTGCGCACCATTTCTCGCTCCTCTTTTTTTTTTTTGTTTCTTTTCTTTTCTTTTCGTTCGAAAATTTCGTCGTCGATGAGAACGAATTTCTATCCGATCCGCGAGCACAACGAAAGGGTAGGAAAAGAAAGGGGTGCGACAAAGCGGTGAAACGACGAGATCGCGGAATCCGCGGTATAAAGCTATTATTACGAGAGGAGGACCAGAGGTGAAAAATCGTGAGGAAGATTTTTAACCGAATCCAGGAAGAAGAGGAAAAGAATTGGGATGAGATATATGGATTTATCTTGAAGACGATGAAATCGTGGCCGTCATCCGTGTGAAATCACTGGAAGATACTAATGGCGCGCGCGTAAAACGTTTCAAATATCGTATAGCAAATATCGCGACGAGTTTATGAACTAAGTGCCACTAAGAAAGACGGGAAGCGCATAAACGAGGAGATTAGGTCGGGATAAATAAGAAAGGAAAAAAAAAAAAATCGAAACGGACGATCGTTGAAAGCGGCAACCCACTCGAACCGAGTTGTGATGTTTGTTCGATTCTCGCTGTGTTTTGCGAGAAAGAGAAAAAAAATAAAAAAGGAAAGGGCGAAAGGATACGAAGAACGCGCGAGTGGGAGAATTGGCTGCGAGTCGTGAACGTGTTGGTCCCATTAACGGGTGGCCATTCGGTTTTCTATCTAAATTACTCTATAATATATATCAAAGTAACGGGCATATTTCTGCGCTTTATTATCAGAGATAACAACGTATAGCCTCTAACTCATTCGTGTACCCATTCTCTTTCTCTTCACTACTAGTTCTTCGTACGTACTATTCTCCCTTTTCTTCGGCGATCTCTTCCATCGACATTTGGTCCTCGTCGTCTCACCGATTTATACACTTTTCCAGCCCCTGTTTCTTTTCTCCCTCTTCTTCTCGATATATATATGTATATATATATATATA